GGGGGGTGCTTTGGCCGAAAAACCTCCGATGCCTAAGTTAGAATTTGAGGGAAAAGTGTTTAGAGAATTTTGGAGAATTTTGCAAGAGAGTTGGGATTAGGTTTTTGGAGAAATGAGATGGTATTTATAGGGGTGTGGCCGGCCCCCTTTGGAGAGATGGGAACCGGCCACCTATGGTGGTTTTTGGGTGTAATTGCAAGATATTATATCAAAATAATATCTTGCAATGAATTAGGAAATTAATCAATTAATTTAGGTAATTAATCCTATTTTGAATGAATAATTGAAGGTTACCTTGTGGGGAGGATTTGATGAGGATGGATCAAATAGGTTTTGAATAAATACCTATTTTGATCACTTTTGATCTTGATTGTGCCATGATTGTCTGCTGCTTGCGTGTAGAAGTTCCGGTGTGCCTCAAGGGTAATATTGTCCTTTTTCACCCAAAAGTACACATGTCACCTCCATAATTTTCTTAATTATTTTTTACTCCACAAATACCCCTACACATGTTGGGCTGCTCATAGGAAAGGGCAGCAAGTGTAGAGATCTCTAGTTTTTATGCAAATTCTCACTTGGACTTGGAATTAGATTCTTCTAGGAAAGGGAAATAAATAGCCTCCAAACCCTATTTAAGCCTACCTTAAGTAAGGGATTAAATCAACTTCGAAGGGCAATTATTTGTCCCTACAAGAAAGAAGGAAAACTAGAGAATTTTTGTTCCCCCTATCCCCTAGCACTCTTCTTTGCTTGCCCGTGCAAAAAACTGTCTTCCATTGATTTCTTTGTCTTCTCCGCATCGCACCGATGTTAGAAAAACTTAATTCTCCTTGTCTTCTTCTTGGGTGGTGCGGCACGTCAGCTGGCAGGGGCCAGGAGTTGGCTTGGCATGGGCCAAGGAGGTGGTGTGGCAAGGGCCATTAGTTTATCCTCTCACACTGGAGAGCAGACCCAGATGGGTGTTGGGGGATTAGTTTACACTCTCGCACTAGAGAGCAATTAGTTTATCCTCTCGCACTAGAGAGCAAACCCAGATAGGTATCAGGGAATTGGTTTACCCTATCGCACTAGAGAGTAAACCCAGATGAGTGTCGAGGGATTATTTTACCCTTTCGCACTAAAGAGCAATTAGTTTATCCTCTCGCATTGGAGAGCAAACCCAAATGGGTGTCGGAGAATTGGTTTACCCTCTCACACTGGAGAGCATGGAAGTCGTTGTCGTGAGTGCAACTGAGGAAAGTTAGACTGCTGGACAACTGAAATAATCCTTAGCCTGCGAGGTCTTGTTTGGCGATCTACTTGAGACTTCGAACTGCTTGTGGGATCCGCATAAGGGTGTAAGCGGGAAACGCATCGAGCTCAATCTGGACTTTCTTTAAGTATTGTGTCATCGTTAGATGTTTCGTCGTGTGCCCTTCTGAAGCTTGGTTGGTGATCAGTTGAGAATCTGGATGGATTGCAAACTTATTCACCGCTAAGTCTTTCGCTAGCCGGGGCTGCTAATAAAGCCTTGTCTTCTATTTCGTCGTTGGATGCTTTATAGTTTTGAGTGCCATGAAGTTGGTCGGTGCGATTAGGAGCCACATGGCGAGATCGGCAGGGCTGGGAGCCTTAGTGTAAGATCGGCACAGTTAGGAGCCATGGTGATAAATCAAGGGTTGCCAAAAGCCGTGGAGTAAGTAGGCACGACTGTGAGCGTAGAGCTAGGGCTGGCTTAGGCCAAGTTGTGCGCAGCATAAGGACTTGGACCACTAGGTCCTTGATGCTCAGTTACTGATGATGCGCTGCTTCAGTATTGAATCGTCTGGAATGTTGAGAATAAGGCATACCCCTGGTTCTTGGAAGTTGGGCTGGTGTGTCCTTATGGTACTCATCTGCCCCCGACGCACCATTAGGCTGAGATGTTGCGTTTGTCGGAATAAAAGTAATCTTTGTATTCGATAATATATGTGGGATAGTCTCGTGTGCCTGATCTTGTTAATGAAAGGTGTCCCACTTGTGTTGGTCATGTCTTGTCGAAGTGCCTCGTCAGTAACTTCGTTGCACTGGAAATCGCGCAATTATTCAGTTATGAGCCTCTTAACTTCTTCCTGAATTTTTCTTTAGTAGGGCAGCGGAGCTTCAGGCTGCCCCCCGTCGTGACCTATTGGTCTAGGCTTCTCTTCCATATGCTCGGCTCATCTATGTCGTGGTTGCACTGCATGTGGTACATTCCTAGCAGGTAAGCGAATTCCTCGTAGACTGCCGGTTGAACTTGAGCCGAATTGAGTGACTGTTTCTCTCTGTCCGTCATGTTGCTTACTCTAATGTGAGGTGGATGATACTCCTTACGAGGCCTAGCCGTGAATGAACATTTTGCCTAGAAAGTTGCTTATGTTGATTATCGGAATGTGGCCCCAACCGTGAATGTATGCTCGTCCTTGGGCCTAACCGAAAGTGTCCGCTCCTCCGCGTGCTAAGATGAGAGTATACACTATCTCGAGTGCCCAAGTGGGAGCATAAACTGCCAGTACCCTCGGATCGTGGTTGGTTGAGGGGCTGATTGCTGAGACGCTGCTAGAGAGGTTCGTCGTCTGCCCTTGTCCTGCTTTGGGACACCTCGTTGGAGGCACGCTGCAAAAGCTGATTCACCAAGGTCGTCTGCTGCTCGAGGGCGCTTGTCAACTCTATGACTTGTCAAGACAAGTGTTGTTCACCATGCGGGATGGAAGGGCTTGGATGGTAGGTTTCTCTATAGGTGTTAGAAGTGTAGTGGACTCCGGGCGCGAGATTTGAGTTGGGAAATGTCAAATATGCGAAGAAATTGGGTGAAAATGCCCCCGGTTCAATCGTCGACCCATAAATATGAAGCCGGGATGGTTGAACTGGTCCAAGACCAATTTGGATTACTTGGAAGGCCACTGGAGTGGGCTGCTCTGCATGCAGTGCACTTGGGCGTTAGGCTTGGGCTCAGCTTGAGAGCGCGCTGGGCTCGCATCAGGTCGTGGGTAGCCTTAGGCTTGGGCCCGTGTAGGTTGGAGTAACGCGACTTAGCCTCGGGGCGCACTGGGCTCGCGCCGACCTTGGGCTTGCGAGGTGTGGGCTACTCCAATTGTCACAGCTGCTTGGCCCCGTTGAATCTGGGTTGGGTACCTTATGGCACAGGCTTAGGCCTGCGAGGTGTGGGCTGCTCCAATTGCCGTAGCTGCTTTGACCCGTTGAATCTGGGCTGGCTGCTTGTGGCACGGGCTTGAGCCTTCTGCTGCAAGATGGCCTGCTCATCGTGGGCAGTGGGCTCACCAAGGGTCGCTGTCGTGGTTGCTACCATGGTGGTGCCACTCCACTCGTCGTTGTGTTGAGCCTCGTGGATTGTTGTGGTCCAAATCCTTGAACGTAGGAAGTTTTGTTCGTCGTGATTTTTGAATTTCTTGTCATTGTACTTTTCTTTTACGTTTATTCAAAGAATTTTTATAAAAAATTCTAGGAATAAGAACGTATGAAAAATCTACGAATGAACAAAAAAATGGAAAACCTTGAATGCGAGAGTCTTCTTCGAGCGTGTGAATCAAACTCTCAATGAAAGTACCAATTTGTGGATGCAAATTTCCGCCTCCTTCTTCTTGGACGAAAATGTATCTGCAAAACAATTAACACCTTAGGTTAAGGCCAAGAGCCTCACGCGCCCACGATGAATGGAGGGGTTTTGGCCAAAGAACCTCCAATGTCAAAGTTAGAATTTGAGGGAAAAATGTTTAGAGAAATTTGGAGAATTTTGCAAGAGAGTTGGAATTAGGTTTTCGGAGAAATAAGATGGTATTTATAGGGGTGTGGCGGGCTCCCTTTGGAGAGATGGGAACCAACCACCTATGGTGGTTTTTGGGTGTAATTGCAAGATATTATGTCAAAATAATATCTTGCAATCAATTAGGAAATTAATTGATCAATTAGGAAATTAATCAATTAATTTAGGTAATTAATCCTATTTTGAATGAATAATTGAAGGTTACCTTGTGGGGAGGATTTGATAAGGATGGATGAAATAGGAATAAATACCTATTTTGATCACTTTTGATCTTAATTGTGCCATGATTGTCCGTTGCTTGCACGTAGAAGTTCTGGTGTGCCTCGAGGGTAATATTGTCTTTTTTTTACCCAAAAGTACACGTGTCGTCTTCATAATTTTCTTGATTATTTTTTACTCCACATCACTACTTAGAGTTTTTGTAAAAAAAATAACTACTGACATTCTCTAATACATATACTAATTATATTTTTTATAATAAAATATAATAATTTTGTGTGTCAGAATAAAATTATTTTTACATGAAATGCTAAGATGTTTTTGGTAAACGAAATGCTAAGATGTATAAACTAAATACTTGAATTATCGACCATGTGGCAAGTGCCGCTGGTGCAGGCAAAGAAGCTGTCCTACACTCGTTGCATTGCCTTTAGGACGTGTAAAGTTGCGACTGTGAAAATTAATGAAGAAAATAAAAAGGATAATAATTGCTCTCACTAATTTTGTACCGTACATAATTATGGCGCCAAAAGTCAATAGTCAATAGTCAAGTTTCGACAGCTTGAGGCTGATCGTGACTTGCTATGGTAACCTGCGGGGTGGCCCCGGTTGGTTGGACGAAAAGTTGTCAAAAAATTTTTTTTTAATAAAAAATATAAAATAATTATGTAAATAAATAGTATGTGATTTTTTAAAGTAAAAATATTTTTAAAGTTAAAAATAAATAATACCCAAATGTTTCATTAAGATTTATTGTTGAATGAAACGATGCAAGAAGTCGTGGTGTTGAAAAACACTTCATTGAAATTGAACAGGACGAGCAATTTGATTTGATAATGTAAGGGGTTGTTTAATCACACGTCTCGAAAATTAACGAGGAAAGTTCCACCGATGTGAAACTAGAATAATACAGACAAATTACAAGACGTGAAGCGAATGAGAAAAAGAGATCGGTGATGATCATTGACTTTGATCAGTCTATATATAATATTGACTTTGCATCTAATCCACCAAATAGGGTCTCCAAATTATGCATTAAATCGAATATTTCTGAAACCTAGAGTTCCAACAATTTAATCCTGTAAGCCTAGAAAGCCACTTTCTCTGAAAGTGCTTTTACAAGCAAGCAGATTCTCGTTCTACACACTTTTGTTAGCTTTCTAACCTTGTTTCTCAGTCTTCAACAGAAGCCCATCTCAACAAAAAACTTGTATTTTGAGGCCATAGCCATGTCGATCAGAAGCTCAATAAGTTCTCCTTGCAGTTCTAGACATTTGAAGGCTTCAGTTTTAAGACCTAGTTGTCTGAGTACTAATCATCGGGACGGATGTCGTTTTCTCGGAAATCGGAGCTTCTTGCAGCCCCTTATCCTGAAGGTCGAAAGTGGTAGCCAGAAAAAGATGTAAGTACATTTTTCCTAGCTGTATATCTTCAACTCCATGAGTTTCCTAAATCTGATTGTCATGGATAAATAGTACGACCCTTTATTTTCAGGGCCGTGGTTGTCAATAGTGTTGAACCAGGAACTCCTCTTCCTTCTGATCCTTCCGGTACTAATTGGTACGTCGAATCGATGATCTTCTACTACTTGATCTCTTTGAAATACTTGTCTAATTAATTTCAACATTACTACATATGCAGGAAACTATGGCTTGTGGGGATGCTTTTCTCAATAGCTATACCCTTTTGGAAGAACAAATGGTGGCCATTGCAAAATATCAAAGGTAAGGAATGAGGACATACTTAATGTAATTATCATCAACACCGTCCTCGTCACTTTCTCCTCCGATGTGGAAGGAGAGATTTGAATTAAAGATTTTTTTTTTTCGAGTAGAGAGAAATATCATCAAATCAATTCGTTAATTAATTTTATGATCAAATACTAGTATGATGTAACATTCTCCGTGTTTATATGAACATATATAACAGCCCCAATATTATGTACAGAGAGATTTTCGACGGCGCTGGACAAAGTGGAAGATGTGGCAGAAATGGTAGAGAAGGTTGCTGGGGAAGTGGAGAAGGTGGCTGACGACATTGCCGATCATCTTCCGGAAGGGAAACTTCAAAGGGCAGCAAGGATTGTTGAAAGCGTGGCAAGAGAAGCAGGCAAGGATGCTGCGCTAGCAGATGATCTCATTGACAAGGTAATATTCCTTTATACCTAATTAATCCACTTGTTTAATTTCTTGATTTCCACGTTTAAAACTGAACCAACATATATAATATATTCGTAATTAACGGGTGAGGGTCACATGATTTAGTCAGCTCCGTCCGCGTTTAGTGGTTGTCAGCGTCAGACATATAATATAAGATTTTGTTACGATATGAACTTTTTTAAGAAATAATGGATGCGTTGAGACTATAAGTGATTTGATAATTACCAAACTTTGTAGGTTGACGAAGTCGAAAAGGAGGTGGATTCTATCATTCAGCAAGCCAATAAGAAAATCGAAGAAGAAAATGATACCGAAGATGAGACGGCAAAAATTAAAGATGCGACTGATATTAAAACAAAGATAGCGGAGATCAAAGCAACGAATGTTGTTAAAAAAGAGACAATAAAAACTGATGCAGTAGATGACTCAAAGTAGCAACTCATGTATTTTATTTGATTTAAACTTTTAGTTATGTAATTTAAATCATCGTGTGTACAATGAGGAGCTAGGGTTCAAGATTTATTATTGTAAATTTATTAATTATTAGATGCAAGTTCCACGAAATATAATTGTACCGTGTCACAATTGGTAACCCTAGAAACGTATGCTTAACGAAAAATCTTCTCATTGGGTTCAAGATTTATTATTGTAAATTTATTAATTATTAGATGCAAGTTCCACGAAATATAATTGTACCGTGTCACAATTGGTAACCCTAGAAACATATGCTTAACGAAAATTCTTCTCATTCAATCTTATCAGTTGTCAATGCCTTGCTGTCTTTGTCTTGTTGTCAATGAAGAGGTCTTGAGTTTTCTAGATGGAGCTTGGATGGTTTGATCAGTTGAGTGGGTGGCTTTTCATGAGGTGTGACACATTGGACTTTAAGATCTGGACTATGTCCAATATATGTTAGCCAGGTTATATAAGGTGCCAGCCCGTTGGAGTCCTCCACCTCCTCCTTTTGCCAAGCTCAATGTCGATGCTCGTTGGGAACAAGATACAAAATCGGGTTTCTCGGGGGTTGAACCTTTATTGCTGCTAGGAGGAGCAGTATTGTTGCTCAATCTGCGGCAGTGGCAAAGGCGATTGCGATCCGTCATGGCTGTGACATGGGTGTTGCTATGGGGTTCAATTTTGTTGTGATTGAATCTGATTCCCAGGATTCTATTTCTTGCCTTAAGGGTAAGATTTCAAATGGCAGGTGGGAGGCTTTTCCAGTGCTGACGAAGTGTAAACTGCTTGGAGATTCCTTTCAAGACTGTCGCTGGTCTTGGACTCCAAGATCAGCCAATATGGCGGCGGATTCTTTAGCGTCGCGAAGAAATGGGGAGATGTGTGATTTTACTTGGGTCGATAGGCCGCCATCTTCTTTGGTTCATGTATTATGTAATGATGGACTTCCTTGTCCTCCTTGAGTTAGCTTTGGTAATGGGAGGGGTGACGCTTGTTGTTTGTTTGTTGCGTCTGCTTCCTTCAACCCCTTGCATTACCCGGGTTCCTCTGTTGTTTGCCTCTGGGTAGGCTTCTGTTGTTCCTTTGGCATCTTTGCCCTGGTTTTTAATCGGATCCAGTTTCTCCAAAAAAAAAAAAAACCCAAACTAAAGAGTGGTAAACCTGATTCTTGTTGTAATTATGGTAGTCGACCAAGGAAGATGAAGGGCAAGACAACACCAAAGTCTTCTACAAACACCTAGCCGGATACAACTATTTTATGAGAAGTATTATGTTTTATTTTCAAGGACTTGTAGGGACCGATGTTTTTATATAGGCTAAAAGCTAGAGTTTCTATCCATAAAAGAAACCTAAACTTACTTTCTCGGCCTCCAAGTTAAATATCATAACCATAGTCAATTAAGGACTTCCTCAATCTTATTTTCCAATGTAAGACACCTTATATAGAATTGATATCTTAAAGTTATCAAATCACAATCAATATTATTGTCTAATTATATTGGATAAATCCAACAATATCCCCCTCAATCTAAGTTGTGGTGGAGGAGAAATTAATTTGGAATTGAGAAACTTGAATCGAGACTTTGGTAAGCTCTTTGCGAAGATGTCCACAAGCTAATTCTCGGAGGCAACATAAGCTGTATCAATGGCTTTGCTAGTGACTAATTCTCGTATATAATGGTAATTGATCTCGATATTCAATTGAATTTACGGTTTAATTCTCATTGTATTGCATAATAGATAATATATACATGAAACAATCCTTGTTTTATAAGGAAACAATAAAGGACACACACATATCCTTCCTAATAAAGGATTTTAATATTTACAATATATTTACACGTCCTTTTTATTTAAAAACACTCACGGCAACACTCCCCCTCTAGTTGGAGCATAGATATCACACATACCCAACTTGACAAGTGAGTCACCAAAAGATCTACTACACACGACATGAGTGAGGATATCCGCAAGTTGCTCTTTCGAGTTCACAAACGGTATTGAAACGATTTTCTTCTCCAGCTTCTCCTTAATAAAATGACGATCAACCTCCACATACTTTGTTCTGTCATGTTGTACCGGATTCTCTACAATCTCCCGTGTAGATTTATTATCACAATACAAACTTGTAGCCTCCTTTGCTTTGAAACCTAGACCACCAAGTAACTTACGTAACCAAAGGACTTCACATAATCTATGTGCCATACCTCTGAATTCGGCCTCAGCTGACGACCTTGACACCACATTTTGCTTCTTGCTCCTCCAAGTAACTAGATTTCCGCCAACAAACGTAAAGTACCCAGAAGTAGAGCGTCTATCAGTTACATCACCTGCCCAATCAGCATCAGTAAATCCTTCAATCCTCAGATGACCGGAATTTTTATACAAAATTCCTTTTCCTGAAGCCGACTTCAAATAAGCTAAAATCCGCATAACAGCCGCCATATGATCCACACTTGGCGAGTGCATAAACTGACTCACCACACTTACTGCATAGGCTATATCTGGACGGGTATGAGCTAAGTAAATTAGTCTTCTTACCAGTCTTTGATATCTACCTTTATCCACTGGTTCTTGATCCGGATAAATTCCCAAGTAATGTTTCTTCATAATGGGAGTATCCACGGGTTTACACAAGCATACATGTTTCCCTCAATAAGTCCATAACATATTTCCGTTGAGACAAGAAAATACCTCTAGACGAACGAGCAACTTCCACACCAAGGAAATACTTCAAGTCACCCAAACTCTTCATCTCAAACTCGGCAGAAAGGTTCTTTTCCAGTTTGACAATTTCATATGAATCATCACCTGTTATTATCATATCATCTACATAAATAATCAAGGCTGTTACTTTACTGTTTCTTCGCTTCACAAATAAAGTATGATCAGAATGACTCTGATAATACCCATTCTTTCTCATAGCCTCAGTGAACCTCCCAAACCATACACGCGGTGAATGCTTAAACCCATAAAGAGACTTCTGTAATCGGCACACTCCCATTTTTTCTCCGTTACTATACCTTGGAGGGAAGTCCATATACACTTCTTCCTTCAGATGTCCATGAAGAAATGCAATTTTTACATTAAACTGTTTCAGTGGCCAATTCAAATTTGTAGCTAATGAGATAAGGACTCGTATCGTAGTCATCTTAGCCACTGGAGAGAAAGTTTCCTGATAATCAACTCCGTACGTTTGAGTATATCCTTTCGCCACCAACCTTGCTTTATATCTATCAAGTGTTCCATCAGCCTTGTATTTTACGATAAAGACCCATCGGCACCCAACTGGTTTCTTTCCCTTTGGCAGCTTAACAACTTCCCAAGTATTATTTTTCTGCAATGCCCTCATCTCTTCATCCATTGCTTCGGTCCATTCTCGACTCTTTAAAGCGTCTTCTACCCGAGTTGGTACATGAATCGAATCCACATTATTCACCCACGCTTGACGTTCGGATGAAAGATTTTTACAGGACACATAATTGGTTATGGGATACTTCACTTTTCCTTCTGGAGAGAACCTGTCAGGAGGTACACCACGATTTTGCCTTGGTGGCAATTTATATGTACTTATAATATCATTAGTTACATGAGTATCATTAGTGCTTATCTCAGGGATATCCAGAGAAGATGTATTGGATGACGACACTATTGAGCTGGAGAGAAAAGGGGAAGATTCGGTAATAGTCGACTGATCACTAATGCATTCTCTTTCAGCAACACCAATACATGGCTTATCAGTCTTTTCTTCGGTGAGAAGCTATGTAATACTTGGGGCAGGTTCGGTGAGACCTTGTTGTCTACTCACAATAGCAGGTTCGGCATGAGTAGACCGAGCATCATCATCTGCATCACTCGGCACACCGTGCACTCCCTCTAAAGACGTTTCCTCTTGTACATCCAACCATTCGAGAACACCATCAAGATCATAATTAGAACTATCCCCCTTGTGATCTAAAGATGGTAATACGAGAGTATAAAAATATTCAGACTCAAAGAATGTCACATCCATGGTGATATACATGTAACGAGGGGCAGGGTGGTAACACTTGTAACCTTTCTGGTGGGATGCGAAACCCACAAAGACACACCGAAGAGCACAAGGATCCAATTTACTATGATGAATATTGTGAATATGAACATAAGCCAAGCAGCCAAACATCCGAGGAGTGAGTGTATTGGTAGAAACAACCGGAACATGTTCCGTCAGCACTTGGAGTGGAGTATGAAATTCTACAACTTGGGATGGCATGCGATTGATAACATACACAGCATAGGTGATGGCGTCTGGCAAAAAACTTTTGGGAACAGACCCACTAATAAGCAGGGCACGAGCGGTTTCCAAAATATGGCAGTTTTTCCTCTTAGCAACCCCGTTTTGTTGTGGGCTGTACGAGCAAGTTGTCTCATGAACAATTCCTTGATCACGGAAAAAATTAGAAAGCTCTTAGTTAAAATATTCCCCCCCATTATTAGTACGAAGAACTTTAATAACGGAGGAATATTGAACAGCCACCAGCTGAGAGAATGATCGAATAATGGCTCTTACATCACTTTTATGTTTCAACAAATACACCCATGTCATACGAGTGCAATCATGAACAAACGTAACAAACCACTTAACTCCTGAAACTGTATTAACAGGCGAGGGCCCCCAAATATCTGAATGCACAAGCTTAAATAGAAGCAATATTTTATTCATACGAGAAGGAAATGAAGCACGATGGCTCTTAGCAAGAATACATACTTCGCAATGTAAGTCTGACTCCTTTATTTCCTGAAACATACTAGGCAACATACGCCTTAAATAACCAAAAGAAACATGTCCTAACCGACGATGTAACAACCAAACTGCTTGCAGATTACTAGTACGGGATGCTCGAATTGCATTAGCTTTGCTAGGAACGACATCATCCATATAGTACAACCCCTCTCTCTTAGTGCCACGCCCAATTATCTCATTGGTCTAAATATCCTGAAGCAAACAAAGAGATGGATACATAAGTACAACACAATCCAATTGCTCAGTAACTTAGGGAATAGATAATAAATGGTGAGACAACGACGGAACAAGCAAACAGTGGTGAAGAGAAAGAGATGGCGTGAGGTCTACTGTGCCAGCCCCAGTTACCATGGCAGTGGTGCCATTTGCCGTGACAACACACTTTTGATGTGTCGTTGTCATATGTTTAAATAACATTTTATCAAAAGTCATATGATCAGTTGCTCCAACGTCCAGAATCCAACCTGTATGGTGTTCAGTACCAGAGGCTAAAAGAACACGTCTCTCAGTACCTGTATTGGATGAAGACTTACTGGGATTGAGTCGGGTCAACAAGGCTTGACTTGGATCCCCCTGAGTAGGCACGGCATTTTTGTTTCCAGTTGTTGCGGCAACCATAGGTGGACGCTTTCCACTAGCTCCGCTAGAAGCACGTTCTTTAACACGCAATTTCTTTTTCAATTCTGGAAACCATTCAAATACTCCATGTTTCTGAAAACATGTATCTTCTGTATGACGAGTTTGCCCACAAAAAGTACACTTTAAATCATCCTTATTCTCTCGAGTGAAATGACGAGAATCGGTTGATGAAGATGGACCATAGGTTCGGCCAGAAGAGGGCTGTGACACCATAGCCACGGGAAGGGTTCCTCTGTGGTTCCCAGCAACACTACCTCCCATCATAGTAGTATGGCTTTGAGCTTCCCGTTTAACTCTGAAAACGCTTCTTCCACAGATGGTAGAGGTTGAGTTCTCAAAATATTATAGCGGACCTTGTCAAAAACATCATCGAGGCCTGCTAAAAAAGCATACACACGGTCTAGTTGAACTTTTTCTCGAAGTGTCTTCAAGTCAAGAGCACACGCCATCTTGACTGGTATTCTCTGATCGAGTTCTTGCCATACAGCTTTAAGATCGGCATAGTATATATAGGCCTCCCTTCTTGGTGAAGTCGGAATGACTTCACTTTCAATTCATAAATCTGAGAGATATCAGATCCATTATAATATGTCCTGGCAACTTCTTCCCATACTTCTTTAGCAGTACGAAGATGAATGAAAAAACCCATGATTATAGGATCCATGGAGTTAATCAACCATCCTTTCACAATTGCATTCCCAGTTTCCCAAGCATCAT